AGAGAGAGAGAGAGAGAGAGAGAGAGAGAGAGAGAGAGAGAGAGAGAGAGAGAGAAGAGAGGGCGGCGCAATACACAGTGATGGGACACAGAGAGAGAAAGAGAGTATAGCAAAAAGCACGAACCTATAACCGCATTTGGCGTAAATCTATCGTTTCCTTTCGCCCTATGCGCCAGCTATAACGCGACGTACGTACATTCCAAAACTACGTGTGAACGCTATTTAACTCAAGGTCACGCTATACGCGTATCGTAAGGAGTCCGCGCACAATGTGCGTTTTAGCGGCGACATCATTGTTCGTAGGCATTTTCATACGCAATGCTCGTATGACGAAAACGGCCACACTTCATTCTAACGTCACAATAGTCCAATAGTCATAGGTTTTCGTCTTCTTTCTTCTTCTTCTTCTTTTTCATCGTTCCAGCTGTCTTCACTCAATGTTTCTCTCGACTTTCGTGCATCGTAGTGGTAGCACTTTGCGTTGTGTCGCAAAGGGAGACGAAGATTCTTTTGGTCAAACGGCGCCAAATGTAGGGTTGAGATGTACGCTTGTAGACGGTAGCTCGTAGATAGTAGACAACGATTGAAGTAAACGGCAAACAGTACTGATATAGATTTATTATAAGCACAGATAAAACGATGTACACATACCCGTCAGCAATACGTTGGCGTCTCTCCCGAACTCACTCAAACCCTCCCTTTTATCCGTCTCTTTCGACCTCGCTACCGCGCGGCGGTCTTCGTCGAAGGCCTTCGAACCCCGTCCGTGCCGCCATCGCCTGTCATTAGGGTTCTCCCTTAATGACATCTGTGGGACACGTACGGGGTGGCCTCGGTTACTGACCGTCTTGTGACAATGCTGATTTATTTAGGACCCGCAACTATGTGGTTGGTGGTCAGCAGAGCTGTCCCCGGTCCATTTCGTTGATCACCTAGGCGGTGTGAGAAATAGTATTTGTCGGGAATCTCACGGTCCTACAATAGTAATTAAAAGTTGCAGGAAATTTATTTCATAACAGCTATATTAACACTGTGTCAAGTCACAGATGAGCAAAAATTGAAAATTTTAAAATAAAAATAAAAATAATTTAGAGTTTGGATATCGGACAACCACGGAAGCAATTTGTAGTTGCCCGAGAGAAAATCCAGTCGTCACGGACGACCGGACGACTGTTAAAATTGAGCCCTGTGATACGAATCACGCTATGTGATTAAGTTGTTTTCACGGCAAGCTGTCTGCATAAATGGCTTCGAGGCAGTAGGTCATTCGACAACGCAGCAGGTGTGCGTAACGGTTCTTTGTGCTGGCACTTGCTAGCAGCGCGAGCTACGCGTAGACGTTTGTGGCAGCTCCAGCCTCGCTGGCTGTGATGCCGTGTTTAAGTTGTAACCTGTTGTTTGAGCTTATTAAAATCCAAGCATTAAACCTATAACAATAAAGTTTATAAGTCGTCTTACGACGAGACATAAAATTGGTGTCAGAGTGGGTCCAACTGATTAATCTACCACATGGACCACACCTGAAAGCTGATGCTAGAACGCAATGACAAACGCAACACACAGCGCAGCAGAGACCAAAAACGACAGATGCAGGAACCTTGGGTATGCGTTTCAAGAACACATGTCACAACCAAGCAGTGGCGACTGTGTCAACGCCATCATACCGAAATTCGAAGGCGTTTCGAGAAAACACGAAGGAAAAAGTGGGAAAGTATTTGGTACGTTTCGACACATGGTCACCCTTGTAAGCCCGAGTAAACGGAACCGAGGGCGCAGGAAGCGTGCATCCTGCTTCTTTGGGGTAGGCGCTCAGAAAAGTCGAGATTAACTTGAGGAACTTGTTCGGGGTGAAGACCTACACCTCTAGATCGTTTTGCACATCAGACTGAATAAGCTGACTAAAGATCACATTTGTAGACCGCTGTACATTCCAAAGCAGCACGTACAATTCTATCAGTGCAGAATGAAACCCGACCAAGACGTTAACGCTGGTGGGCGCAGCTGACTAAATCCGGACCTACGCAGGTAACTGCAATTTCTTTATTGACAAGAGAACAGTTGTAACCATGCAGAGTTAACGTGACATATCAAATAAGACGTGAAATCATTAAAAATTCACGCACATCTACAGATGTTCGCCGTCAGTGTCTTTTTGACCCTGACCCAAAACTTAGAAGAAGTACTAAAAGGTAGCGTGTTCGAGAGAACGACGGAGACCGGACAGAGTATCTCGTGGCGAAAGGTCAATGACAGCAGTAATACTCCGGTTCAACAAGATGTCTGGAGTTATAAAAACACTTATAGAGACCAAAGACCTCCAAAGCCTCAGCTTAAACAGGTAAACAGTCACTGGAGAGCGACACTAATAAGTTTAACTTACTTGTCCAGCGTGTTATCATCAAGATCGAGCGTGTAGAATGTCCATTGTCGGAGCTCGTTTGCCATATCGCAATGCGAAAAGGACACGATACGTCTGTAATTGTCAACAAACGCAACCATAAGTACCATCTAACATGACAAACACGATGCTACACGGGCAGTGGCAACAATATATGAATCGTATTTCGATGTATCCAGACCGGTCAGTGGACAGGTTGACATGGCAATGTAGAACGGACAGCAAAGCAAGATATGAAAGGATTGTAAACAAATTTGGTTTCGAAGCGAAACGTGCAATGGCAAGAGTGTATTTGTTTCAATGGGAACAACGGTTCCATCATGCCAATGTTAGCATTAGATGGTTACGNCCAGCATTAAACCTATACGATAAATGTTATTGTTCTTACGACGGAGACATAACAATTAGTGTCAGAAGTGGGATGAACTGCTTGAACGTCTGAAAGGGGGTCGACATTTTACCAGGGTTGACCTTGCCGATGCGTATTTGCAACTGGAGCTAGAAGAAGAAGCTCAAGAGCTCTGTGTAATAAACACACCCTGGGGACTTTTCAAGTATACTCGGATGTGTTTTGGAATTGCAGCGAGTCCCGCGCAGTTCCAGCGTTGCATGGACTCGTTGATCGGACAGCTTCCTGGTGTAGCTGCATACTTAGATGACCTCATCATTACGGGTCGTACGGAAGCAGAACACTGGAAGAATCTGGAAAATCTTCTGAACCGCCTTCAGGAGTTTGGCTTCCGGATTCGTTTGGAAAAGTGTGAATTTTTCAAGAAGTCGGTCGAGTACCTGGGACACGAAATAGGTAGCAATGGGATGACTCCATCTAAGTCATCAATTAAAGCTGTCGAGCAGTTGCCACGTCCGAAAACTTGCCAAGAAATCCAAGCATTCATGGGGAAAATAAACTACTATGGCCGCTTCATAGCCGATCTGTCAGAGAAGGCTAGACCACTGTATGCCCTAATGCGGAAAAACGCAAAGTTTGAATGGAAGCAAGCTCAAGAAGAAGCTTTCCAACTGCTTAAGAGGGAAGTCATTGATGCAACACAGTTAACGCACTACGATGACTCTAAACCCCTAATCTTAGCAACTGATGCATCGCAGCATGGAATTGGAGCGGTGTTATTGCAATTGGACAAGGGAGTAGAATACTCTATTGTGCATGCATCAAAGACCCTGAACGAACATCAGGTAAAATATTCGCAGATAGAGAAAGAGGCTCTGTCAATCGTTTATGGGGTGACGAAGTTCAGACAATTCCTGTACGGCAGGAGATTCTCGCTGAAAACAGACCACAAGCCTCTGGTTGCCATATTCTCTCCAGACAAGAACATTCCAGTGTTAGCAGCACAACGGCTTCAGCGTTGGGCAATTACGCTTATGTCCTATCAGTACGACATTTGCTACAAGCCAAGTGCACAGCATGGTAACGCAGATGGTCTTTCGCGTTTACCGATGGGACCGGATGTTAGTTTCGATAAACAGGAGGAAGAAGAAAACATCGAAATTGCACACGCTATCATGGATGAGTTAGAAAGTTCTCCCTTAAAGGCGCAGGATGTCAAGGTCGAGCTGCACAAGGACTCTCGACTGAAGCAAGTTAAACGGCATATAGAGGATGGTTCCTGGCCGGGAAAACTCAAGGCGGACCAAACTCACCTGCGCCCATTCTGGAATCATAGGGACTCACTTTTCATATTCAACGACATCGTCTTGCTACAACGTGACAATTGCACTCGCATTGTGGTTCCGTTCTCACTGCGAAAGAAAGTACTGGATCTGTTACACACAGCACACTGGGGAGTGGTGCGAATGAAGCAAATGGCACGTCGTTATGTGTGGTGGCCAGGCATTAGCCAAGATATTGAGAAACTCGTCAAGTGCTGCGAGCCGTGTCGTTTGTCAGCGAAACTGCCAAACAAAACGTTTCAAGAGTGGCCGAAAACAGAGAAACCATGGCAACGAGTTCACCTAGATTTTGCCGGCCCTTATAAGGGAAAGATGTGGTTAGTGTGCATTGATGCTCACTCAAAGTTTCCATATGTTGCCATGTTAAACATTGGTAAAACAACATCAGAGGATACAATCGATGTGTTGAAACAGATCTTCACAATAGAGGGATCTCCGGATACGATTGTAACCGACAACGGACCCCAGTTTGTTTCACGCGAGTTCGAGAAATTCTGTGTGCAGCTGGGCATTCACCATGTCACCTCGCCACCATATCACCCTGCGTCCAACGGCGAAGCAGAGCGTTTTGTTCAGTCGCTCAAAACAGGGTTGGATAAGAATTGTGCGGGAGGAGCGGGATTGAAAGACGCAATCCGCGTATTTCTAGCGACGTACCGGTGTTCGCCACATCCTGGGCTGGCGGGGAAGTCGCCTGCGGAGGTGCTACACGGGCGTCAACCCAGAAATCTCCTGTCACTATTGTGGCCACGCGAAGCAAGTGGGGAGGATCATACCCTCAATAAAGGCAAACATCGTTATGACGTTGACGCATTAGTCTATGCACGTAACTACGCCCGCGGACCGAAATGGGTGCCGGGAACTGTCATAAAAACTCTCGGGCGAGTGTTAGTCAGGGTACAGACAGATCACGGGGTTTGGAAAAGACACGTGAACCAACTACAGCCAAGAATGAGCTCATATGACGTTCAGCCGCAGTGTGGTGAAGGCGAGGTTAACCCTACACAACGGGAGATACTTCCTGAGCCCGAACCTGTCGTGGGACGCCCGCAACCGAGAGAACGTCGCTACCCTGAACGAGTGAGACGGCGACCAGATTTCTACAGGTCGTAGAATGCCGGGATAAGTGGTTCCCAAATTAGAAGGGAAGAAGTGATACGAATCACGCTATGTTATTAAGTTGTTTTCACGGCACAAGCTGTCTGCATAAATGGCTTCGAGTCAGCCAGCGAGGCTGGAACGCCTGCACAAAACGTCTACGCGTACTCGCCCTGCTACATGCTAGCACAAAGAACCGTTAGCTCACACCTCTTCGTTGTCGAATGACTTACTGACTCGAAGCCATTTATGCAGACAGCTTGTGCCGTGAAAACAACTTAATAACATAGCGTGATTCGTATCACTTCTTCCCTTCTAATTTGGGAACCACTTATCCCGGCATTCTACGACCTGTAGAAATCTGGTCGCCGTCTCACTCGTTCAGGGTAGCGACGTTCTCTCGGTTGCGGGCGTCCCACGACAGGTTCAGGCTCAGGAAGTATCTCCCGTTGTGTAGGGTTAACCTCGCCTTCACCACACTGCGGCTGGACATCGTATGAG